CCCTATGCAGCAAATGTAGTTAGGCGGCGGGCGACCACGCCGCGTCATTTCTGCTTGTCTGAGCCTTCTCAACAAAAAGGGAAGTAGCGTGCATACCCATTTAAGGGCGTTAGGGAGACATTTTTTGTGATCCAGGTATTAAGAAGAAGTGGCAGGATAAGAGAAGACGAACAGCACAAGACATGACGTGGCCAATAATCGCCCTCACACTTGGCGCTCCTGAACCACCTTTACCCGCCATCATGCTTGTCAACTCTAGCGGTTCAGTCGCGCGATTTAGCAATCCAGCCTTTCGCTTCAATCCTATATGTATGTGACAGGGGTATGTGACAAGACAATCGTAGTACGCCACGCTGGTGGGCGTGGCGACTGATGTTGGGCCTTCAACAGACGAGTTGTCCTGCCTTGTTGAATTTTAATGTCAGAGGAACAAAACCATTTACAGCGCTAGCATTGAACCTTCCCTCCACTTGTATTTAGTTGAACTGCAAATGCGCGCATCGTCGCACGCCCGCTCCGCACTATCTTGCTAATCACTGTTTCGTTGGAACCCTTGAGTCAGTAGCATTGAAAAAAAAACTTTGTTTGATGGTTAGCAGCGGTCTAATGTTCAGCGATGGAGCGGGGCTCCGAAATCGCGTGACTGAATCGCTCGGGTATAGGTCGTTTCGGGCGATCACTTTGCCACCAAAGTGTAAAAACATGTCAGACAAGCCGTCTTCCACGTGGGACAACTCGTCCGAAATCTAAACTGGCGTTTGTTCCTCGATTCGGACGAGTTATCTGAATAAGTGGAGGAGTACCATCACTTGTCACCCGTAAGCGGCAATGTAATCGGCCAAACGTCCTCCTCCCAGTAGCTCGAATCGCGAAATACGGGCGCGGCCTTGCGCGTATAATCCCCCTGAAGCTGACCTGCCCCTTTATTTTGCATGGCTTTCCACAAGAATGAATACGTTGGTTGCTTACCGCATCCAAGTTTTTATTGGAAGCGCCCATATAGTGTTGTTCGACCGGTTGTATATCTTGTTCACTGTTATTGATTTGTGGTTTAATATCGATTGACGGTTTTGCTTCCTGAATGAGTGCTGCTGTAGAGCTGTGAAAACGACGCACTTACCAACTTACCGGTGCCAGGATTCCACTTGGTCCAGCTGGAAAGAAGGCACTGTTGTAGGAAGGTAAAGGTTGGGCGGCAAGAGCGGGACCAGCCTGGTCGAACGATGTCATACCTACCGCAGATAGGTCAGATGGCATTTGGTAGGGTAAACTCTGGAAGGACACAGTGCTCAGAGATACATTTTGTTATCGATAAAATTGAGAGAAGGGTTTTTCAAAGCAGCTGACGAGAAGACCGGGAGTTCGTGTGCGGGGGGGGGGATATTCCCACTACAGAATTGAAAAGTGATTGGCAGGAGTTTTTCAGTTCTCAGCCCCTCTTCGAGTGCTTACCCTGTACGGTGAAGGGATCATGTAGTAGCGTTCGTTACGGTAGACGTACAAGACAATCGTGATTTATCGCGTGGTCGCGCGCGGCTTGGCGATGCGCGATAAGTCCGCGATGTGTATCAGTTAGTTGATTGGAGTAGCGAAAGTAGTCTGAATTCAACGAAGGCAAACTCCGTGACAGGTGAAATCGAATTTCATCGGCCCTCAGCACTCAGATTCAAACGACCAGGCAGGACAACTAGTCCATTTTACGCGACGTCGCTCGCCACGCCCACCACCGCGGCACATTACGATTGTCATGTCACATACCTGTTCACTGCAGCGATGACAGCCATGCTTGAACTTTACGATTATGCTTTCAAAACAAATTACTTACTCCGCCCATCAGCATCATGTGCATAGGATCTAAAGCGGCTGCGCCATGCATACGTGAAAGTTGCCATTGTCGAAGATATGATAGTTGGTTGTTCTCGACAACTGAGGAGAATCTCGAAGCGTATGGTGGAGTACGCTTGATACGTCTGAAAAATACCTTTTAGAACTCCTTACTGAAAAAAAGGTGAAAAAAGAAGTTATTAAGGCAGTGGGTGGGTTGGCTAGGAGGCAGGCGCTAAACCTTGCGTTTTGGTTGGAGGGTTTTGGTCACATCCCCAGCTCATTCAACAATAACCCTTCTAAGC